TTGATTTTTCTATAGCAAATCTTTAGATAATCTTTCTCTCTCCAGTCTTGAAAGCCTTTCCCATTCCAGAAGTTCTCTTTTATTAGAGATTGTCCATGCTTTTAAGAAAAGAAAGTCAAGCTCTTTAAATAACTTGTAATTTATGTGGTTCTGTATTTTTGAGAAAACAAACTAAATGACAAGTTCTTAACCTTCAGTCAAATCCAGTGCTTACCCGTTATTTATAAATGAGCCTCAAGGGGTTACTGACCCACCCCTACCGCCACTGCATATAAAATTTTATGCATATGTGTATCTAGATAGAGCCAAATAGGTTAAAATCCACTTTCTGAATGTTTCAAAACAATATCCATTTCTGCCCTATTACATTCTGATCAGAGTATTTTTCTAAACAAAAGGCCTTTTTTTTTTCTATCTCACTGTTTATTCACAGTTGTTAATTATAAGGCATGGTTGCTCTACATAGCTTTATTTCCTTTTGGATCAAGACTCTTATACTTCCAAGAGTTATGAATCCCTAAAATTTACATAGGTGTTTATGTACACATACACACGTGCACACACACACATCTATTCCTCAGATAATTGTTGATGGAAATAATAAAAAGAGTTTGTGCTCTTAGGTAGGGAGGATTAAAAAGAACTCCAAGTGATTGCCCTGAATTAAGGTAAATACTGGTAAAGAGTAGTTCCTTTCCTTTTCTTTTAGTATGTTTAACAGTTTAATTTCCCTCATTCCCCTCTGTTTAAACTACCCTGAGAAGTCCTTAGAGTAGTTGGATGACAAATCTAGTATTTGAGATTTCCAAGCATTATGTCTGGCTCTGCTAAAATGGTTCTTTGGCTTTACCTTAGTCTTTCACTATCCCTCCTACTCCTGCATTTTTGTTTTTCATTTTAAGGAGTAAAATTGTCTTGCTTACTCTCAGTTCTGGTTAATATTATCCAACCTCCAACACTTAACCTCTTTAGTGTTAGAATCTGCTTTGCTTTTGGTTACTCTTAGGGACAAATAATAGCAGATTTAACTGTTGTGTAGACTGAAATCCCTAATTTAAAAAATCACAAGATTTTGTTGATTATATAGAGTATTTTTCTAAACTATGGCCTTGTAAACTATTGGTCTGTTTTCGTTGTAACCTGACACTTGAAAAAAATTTTTATAATGGCACCATTTATATTTTTGGTGATACTACAGTCTGGAACATGTGGCCTAGCAAATATAAATCTAGGAAGAAAAATTATGGTTGGCATCAGTTTTAAGTCTTTGCACTCTGACAGAGCACAAATCCTAAATTGTTTAAATACTAAATATTTACTTAAAGAAAAACAGGAGACCATTCAAAAATGGAATTAATTTAAATTGTGTTTGCCTCATTTAGAAACTGACAGTTTTTTGTATATTTTTTATAAAATTAACAAAAAGGAGATTAAAGTATCCACATTACAATACTCTTGTGTTGGTTTTAAAGTAAAACACACATACAACATACACACATTTGGAATGAGGCCAAATTTAGACTCCAGAGGTGTACTGTTCTGTACCTTAAATTACAATCAGATGTATTTTAGCACAGATCAAATTTTCAGTTAGAAGTTGGTGAGAAGCCTAATTATTTGACCAGGTTACTATTTATGTAGACCACTCTATGGCTGTCTGTGGTTAATCCACAGCTGGCAGAATGCTAGCTCTGGGAGGTTTTTATTTCATGCTGAAATAGTCTGGGGAGAAATGGGGGTGGGGAGCTTTAAACTCTCCTCATTAAATGAAAGGCTAAAAAGCAAGTACATACGTATTACTGTGGAGACAAGATGCTATATAATTTAATTCTCCAAGTGATTAATGCTGTAATATTTAATTCTCCAAGTGACAGAAATAGCAAAGGAAGCAGCTTGGATGGTCATGGTTTGCAAGTGATATGATAGTAGGTTAAAAAAGTAAGATGAAAACATTTTTAAAATAATGTTACCTAAGACAAAGACTTGTTACCTTTTAGAATAGTTGAATATTGGTAAAGAATTAAAGGGTTGGGATCTTTAAATGATGAGGACGTATTATGTTATTGTGATAGGAAAACATTTTTACTAGAATTTCATTAGTAGTACTTTAAAGTAATGAGACAATTACAGTGTAAAATTCTCTCTTAATATCTCAGAATTTTATAAGGGCAATAAACGCTTCAAAGATGGATCTCAATACACACGACTTCTACCACAAAATTAATTTTTTAATATTATTTTAATGTTCAGTTTGAAAGTAATAAGAAAAAAATCTTCTTAAAGCGTGATGAAAGTGGTTAGTTCCTCAGTTTTAAGTGAATATTTCAGTAGGTTTTTTGTAACTGTTAAGAGAAGTTTCTTTTACATTTTCAAGGTTATTTTTTCCATTTATAAGCTAGCTCTTCTCCCCTTCTGGTTCCCATTGTCTTTCTTCTCTGGTTCCTTCCTCTGTCTAATCCTCCCCATCTTTCTGCTTCATTCTTCTGTTTCTCTACCAGATCCTTTTCAATGAAGAGCAAAAATGCTCCAACTTTCCCTGTTCTTAAAAACCACTCTCCCATTCCTCTTCCCCCACTAAAAGTATCTTTCTGCTTTTTTCTTCTCTATTATCTACTCAAACTAGGGGCATTATCTCTGGAGTCATTTGAATCCAAGTTCCATCACATATAAGCTGTATGACCTGTACATTTCTAAACTTTCCCATCTTGCCTTCTTTATTCATAAAAGGAGAATAATAACAGTTATCTACCTCATGGGTTTGGTATAAGGAAAAAATGATAATTGAGTTAATATACATAAAGCTTTTAGTATAGTACTTGGAACACAAGAATTGCTCAGTAAATTTCAGGTGATTCTTTTGTTTACTGATAAAGTTTTCAAAACAATTTATAATCCTCACCCTTACTTTCTCACCATTCTTTCTTTAAAACTATTTTTACCTTCATACCGTAAGTACTTTCTCCTCATCATCAAATCCTGTGGCTTTTGCTCAATTCTTTGTTTCTCTACCAATTGATAGCTATAGGTACCTTTAAGTATCTTCTTGAAATTTCCCTTGTTGGATTTCTCTGTTGTCACTTCTACTGTTCTCATTTGCCTTCCTCTTATTCTCTCCTTTACTTTTTTCCTTTCCTCTGCCCTCTCATTTTTGTTCTTCTCCATCCTGTCCTTTACCATCTTCTTTTTCTACGTTCTCTTCCTCAGTAATTACTACCTCCCTTTTACCATCACGTTCTTCCATGGCTTTTCTTGTGAGTCCAACTTTCTGATATCTATTTTGGAAGTCCCTTAACACCTCAAATGTAGTCTGACTGTAACTAAATATTCTCTCTTTACATCTAAGCCAGGTCTTATTCTCAATTTTTCTGATTCTGTTAAAGTGGAACCATATTCAAAATCGCAGTCATCTTTTTTTTTTTTTTTTTTTTGGTGATGAAGATTCACCGTAAGCTAACATCCATTGCCAATTCTCCTCTTTTTGTTTGAAGAAGATTGTCCCTGAACTGACATCTGTGCCAGTCTTCCTCTGTTTTGTATGTGGGATGCTGCTATAGCATGGCATGCTGAGCAGTGTGTAGGTCCATGTCAGGGATCTGAACCTGCGAACCTCAGGCCGCCAAAGGCGAGCACGCAAACTTAACCACTACACCACCAGGCTGGCCCCAGAATCTCAGTCATCTTTTGACTCTTTTCTCCTTTGTCTTCCACATCTTAAACAGTTACTAAGTCTAGAATGTAATACTCCCAGTATGATTTCCTTGTTCAGAGCCAAATGCAGGCCTTTATTGACTGTTGCTGAATTGCTGCTGTCTAAGTTAACATTCTAACTTTTCTCACAAGCTTGTTCCTTTCTTTCAAGAAATCTTCGTTATGCATCATGCATCCCCACCCCACCTAATAGACTCCTAACCTGCCTCTTAAGCCCCTTAATGGTCTATAATGCAGCTGGCCTTCCCAAGTTTATCTTCTCTTGCCCTTTGTATATTCCTTCACTCACTTCTGCACCATTCAAACCCGTTTCCTCCTTGAGCATCCATGTCTTTACTTATACTTTCTTTCATCTAGAAAGCATAAATGTATTTTAGAAGACTTTTGCTAATGTTTAAGATGTAGATAAATAGCATTTTAAAATATAACTTTCCTGGGGCCAGCCTGGTGGCGCAGCGGTTAAGTTCTCACGTTCCACTTCGGAGGCCCAGGGTTTGCGGGTTCGGATCCCAGGTGCGGACCAACACACGGCTTGTCAAGCCATGCTGTGGTAGGCGTCCCATATATAAAATAGAGGAAGATGGGCACGGATGTTAGCTCGTTAGCTCAGAGCCCATCTTCCTCAGCAAAAAGAGGATTGGCAGCAGATTGTAACTCACAGCTAATATTCCTCAAAAAATATATAAATAAATAATAAAATGTAACTTTCCTAACATGAAATTTTAATTAAAATATTTTTCTATTTCATTATTGAATTATTTTCTAATTATTTGAAGATTCTATTTCAGAATCTTCCTTAAAAAATCAGTTTAGATGTTTCATAAGGTACCAAGCTCTGATCTTAGTAAACTAATTTCATTTTTAAACTAATTTTATTTTTAATAAATATCACATCACTTACAAAAATGCAAGCTGTTTATAAGAAGCTGGAAGGATTCAATCTGCCTTCATTACTGTTTCTCTAATTTTAATGTAATTGTTGTCTTGAGTGAGACCTTTCAAATATTTTTTCTTTTGTAGATTCCCCAAATTCTTTCAGTATTGAGCATACGGATCTACTGTGAAATAAGTGATGTTTTATACTGTGACATAATGTCAAATATCAAGCCTATAGAACTCATATGATAAACTTTTCTCCTAATCAAATGCTATTTTCTACCTTGCGTTTTATAACTATTTTAAAGTTTGTAATATATAGGCTTTTGTATTTTGTATAGATTTCTTTATTCTCACTGAGAGTGACTCTGTAGAGATGGCATTTCTAATTTCCCTTCCTTTTTTTCTTTAACCAGGGTTTTTTTCTTACGGTTTCCCCGGAGTCAGTATTAAAAGTGGCTTGCCATGCTTCTGAAAACAACAGAATTTTCACTTTGAATCTGTCTGCACCATTTATTAGTCAGTTCTTCAAAGAATCATTGATGAAAGTTATGCCTTATGTTGACATACTTTTTGGAAATGAGACGGTAAGTTAGTTTTTTAAAAAACGTACCTGATCTTTTTGGTTTCTGGTTTGTGTATAAGTTTACAGATATATAAGTAAAAAGCAAAATATTTGCATAAATATACTTGAGAATTACACAACAAAACTGCCTCAATTTGAACCACACTAATTCAGTATTTTCAGTATTTCCTTCAGTTTATACTAATTTCTTACATGGTAAAATATTGTTTTTTTAAAGGGTTAGGTTATTGAGGTTTATAATTTATATACAGTAAAATTCACTCTTTTTACTGTACATTTCTATGAGTTTTTGCAAATGCATATCTGACATGTAACCACAGCCACAATCAAGATAAAAAACACTTTCATCACCCCTTTCAGTCAACCCTTCCCCTCATTCAAAGCCCTTGACATCAACTACTTTGTTTTCTAACCAATAAAATAATATCTTCCTCTGAAATTTTCATGAATTAAGGTAAGGGGCATCTAGTCTAAAATAACTGTTTTATGAAGTTAAGTAGCTCTTCAAAGTGTAAGTCTATTTAATTTAATTTGATAAATTATGAGCAAATATTGGTATATTGTCATTTGTATTACATTTATTAGTAGTATCATTTGCATATTATATTTGAAGGTAATGAAATGGAATTTCATTTTTTTCAGTTTTTTCTTTTTACCAAGAATATACTTTCTTTCATTCTAAATTAGTGGGAAATATATTTTGTTTTTTCTCATTTAGTATTTATAGCTTCTGTTTAACCGGTAGACTTTAAAAATCTGTGAAGTAGAAAAAACAAAGAGATCTTCAGTGTATCTTCATACACCTATGTATTGTCACTTAACTTTCATGAATCTCAGGGTCTTTATATGTAAAGGGAAGGTGTTGTATTAATTATCCCAGAAGCCCATTCTGATTCTGATTCTATAATTCTAACAGTTCGATTATATTCACTGATTTTGTATCTAAATAAGATAACTGTCTTGTCTGCCTAGAATAACATAAAATTTGACCTGGAAATAATATGAGATCACCTGGGTGTTTTGTAGAAATAATACGGTGAGAGTATCTTCAAAGGCACTAACCAATTGAAAGAAATGCTGCATTCTTGACAATTCACAAACTGACATAAAGGCAAGACATAGTGGTAAAAGCCTTAAACTCCTATGTATCTGCTGGAAGTCTCACTTGACTAAAAATCTATGGTTTAGATTTTCCTTACTGCTGGTTTTATTTTCTGAAGGGTAAAGGAAGTAACTAGGGAAAGTGCTACTCTAGCCCTTTAAATAACATGAAAGAATTCGTCATCAGTGTGGTAGTCTGAGAATCCTTGGGAGAAATTGATACTTTAACTCAGAGTTCTTTATAATCAGGAAAGATCAGACTGGCAATACTTAAATATATGCTCTAGACTTTAACAAGAGAAATGTTAAAACTTTTTAAAATGTAAATATGATTCCAAAGAATGAGACTTTGGAAGTAGAGATAACTTCAGAGGATTGAATACCACCAAAAATTCAATTGTGACTTTATAACTTCAAATGACCTTAATTACTTAAAAAACAGGGAGAGGAGCCTTAAAAAAAAATATTGTGGAGCACACAGAAAACTAATAGTGTTCACATTTGTATAACATGTAAAAAAGGTGGAAAACATTTATAGAATAGGGAACAATGCTAAAAGTTTGGTAGAGACTTAGGAGAATAGAAAAGAATAGAGGCCCAAGAATGACTAGGCTTGCAGAAAATGTTGATGATATCAAAATGATAATCACTTAAAAAATACTCCAAATGTGCAGGCAATAACAGAAAAAATAATTGAGCTTCATCAAAATTGAAAACTTTTGTGTATCACAGGACACTATCAAGAAAGTGAACAGACAACTCATGGGATAGGAGAAAATATTTGCAAATGATATATCCGATAAGGGATTAATATTCAAAATATGTATCTCAACAGCAAGAAAACAGTCAACCCAATTCAAAAATGGTCAAAGGACTTAGATAAACATTTCTCCAAAGAAGATATACAAATGGCTGATAAGCCTATGAAAATATGCTCACCATCACTAATCATTAGAGAAATGCATATGGAAACCAAAATGAGATAGCACTTGACACCCATTAGGAGGGCTGTTATAAAAATATGGAAAAAGCAAGTATTGGCAAGGATATGGAGAAATTGGAACCCTTATACATTGCTGGTGGGAATGTAAAATGGTATAGCTGCTATGGAGAACAATTTGGTGCTTCCTTAAAAAGTTAAACATAAAATTATTACCATATGATCCAGCAGTTCACTTCTAGGTTGTAGTCAAAAGACCTGAAAGCAGGGATTCAAATACTTGTACACCAATGTTTATAGCAGCATTATTTACAATAGCTAAAAGTTGGAAAAAAAACCGCATGCTCCCCAACAAATAAATAGATAAACAAAATTTGGTGTGTGTGTGTATATATATATATATAATGGAATATTATTCAACCTTAAAAAGGAATGAAATTCTGACACGTGATACAACATGAATTAACCTTGAAAACATTGTGTTACATGAAATAAGCCACACACAGACAACTGTTGAATTTTCCTATAAGGATTCCATTTATATGAGGTACCTAGAATACTCAAATTCATAGAGATGGACAGTAGAATAGTGTTTACCAGGCGCTGGGGAAAAGGGAAATTAGGAGTTATTATTTAATGGGTACAAGGTTCTATTTGGGATGACAAAAAAGTTCTGGAAATGGATAGTGGTGATGGTTGTGCAACATTGTGAATGTACTTAATGTCACTGAATTGAACACTTAAAATGGTTAAAATGGTAAAATTTTATCTTACATGTATTTTACCACATTTAAAAAAAAAGATTAATTCTACAAACCGGTAAAGTTTGACTATGACTTAATATTGATTATTAAAGGAATCTGTTTTTTCTTACCTAGAAGAGGAAGTGGTAAAACTGCACACTGCTACAAGGCTATAAGTCATGTTAGGATGACTTTTTACTTTTTTTATGTAATTACTGGTCATTTGAATTCATCTTAGTGGATATGTAGTACCTATTATGGCAGACCAGTAAACAGGTATATAGTATATTTGAGATGATCTGTCATAAAATGGATTATAGAATAATAAATATTAGATACAGGGCAATTAAATATATTTGCTCTTTTACTGAACCAGTCTTAAAAAGTCTGCTGATAAATAAATAGATTTCTAGTGATATGCCCCAGTGTTTACTCTGAGCTTTGCTCAACTAAACTATCAATGATTCAGATAAAGCTGTATTTGCAGAGAATGCAAATAATGCAACACCTTAACAAATACCGAGTAAGTTGAATGTCTAAGTGAGGCTTTTAAAAAATTTTAATAGACTGGAAATATCAGTTGAGTGATGATATTTAATAAGGATAAATAAAAATGATACCATATTTCGTTACAAAAAGCAAGTATGGTATTTGTGAGCTTTATCTTTTTAATCTCATCTCCCAATGTTCTTCTCCTTGAGTACACTAATAATAATAAATTATCTTCAGTTCTTCAGGAGAAAGACATTTTATTTCTAAAATGCTACTAAATGTAAAATATATTTATCAGAGAATACATACAGGATTGTTTTATCTGCCCCTACCCCCCCCCCCAAAAAAAATCAAATCTCCTGTGCTTAGTATAAATTTTTAAAATGTCAGCGCTTAGCTAAAACCAAACACACTTGGCTCTTCTTGTCTACCTGATGCCACCTTCCCTTTTTCAGAGGGTCATACACTAGAAATAATGCTTTAAATCTTTTCTGATAACCTTAATATTGAAAAAAAACCCGTGTCCACCAAGGCTATATCTTCACAGGTAAAGACAGACAATGATCCCTATGAGACAAGCAATAAATCAGGTGAGCCTCATGATTAGCACAGCTTACTGCTTGGAGAGAATTTCCAGGCCACAACACAAAGAGGGGAACCCTCTTGGCAGTCTCTTTTGAACTGAGGAGAAGGAGCTGGAAGTTCAGAGAATCCGACAGCTAGTGTTTGCAAGTCAGAGTACCAGAGAGGAAAGAGCTACATAGAGAACACAAGAGATTTGCAGAGTCTGACCCAAGTCTTCTGCTGAGTTCTGGTCAGCACATCTTTGTAAGGAAACTTATGAAGGCTGGGAGAAGAACCACCTGAAAAGATTAAAGGGAATAATCCTTAGAGTACACATAGGGCCTGTAACGATTCTTGTTCCACTAGCCAGAGTCAATAACCTCATAATTCATGGGGCTTCAAATAGAGTACTCAGAACACTAATGGGACAAAATTAGTCTAGAGTAGAAGCTACTGTGGTCCCTTCTAACAATATTATTCCAGTATAAGTGACAACTTTTATGTAATGGACAAGTTCCTTGAAAGATGTTAAGTACCAAAGCACACTCAAGAAGAAAGAGAAATAGGGCTATTTCAGGTTGTTTATTAAAGAAATTGAATTTTTAGTTAAAACCTTCCCACACAGAAAACTCAATGGCCAGAATGCTTCAAGGTTGAATTCTACCATACATTTAAGGAAGAAATAATACCAATTCTGTATAAACTATCCTAGCAAATTGAAGAAGAAGAAACACTACCATAACCAAACAAAGAATTAAAACTATGAACCAGTATTCCTCATAAACATAGATAAAAAAATTCTTAAGATAATTTTAGCAAATCAAACCTAATAATATGTAAAAAGGATAATTCATCATGACCAGGAATACAGGGTTGGTTTAATATTTTAAAATCAATCAATGGGGGCCGGCCCCATGGCGGAGTGGTTAAGTTCGCGCACTCTGCTTTGACAGCCCAGGGTTTCATCGGTTCAGATCCTGGGTGTGGACATGGCACTGCTCATCAGGCTGTGCTGAGGCGGCGTCCCACATGCCACAACTAAAAGGGCCCACAACTAAAAATATGCAACTATGTACTGAGGGGATTTGGGGAGAAAAAGCAGGAAAAAAAGAAAAAACAAGATTGGCAACAGTTGTTAGCTCAGGTGCCAGTCTTTAAAAT